TTAGTAAAAATGTGTCATTGTGACAATAATTACTTAGTACTACATGGTATGATATTTTCCGAAAATATTTTAAGATAGGCGTGTTTTTGAGCTAATAAAATGTAGTCCCTAAAATTGTGTGTACTTCGACACACTTTGTGTAGTACGAAATTTAAAAGTGTGTTATTCTAATTAAACCTTTATAATAATATTATGTATAATTTTATAAAAATATACATATATCTTCACATTTTTTTTATATTTTAATGGTTTTTTGCCAAACCACATTTTAATTATTATCTCAATTCTACACATACACACAGTAAACAATATTCTGTGTTGTTACGTCTTATACTCTTATTACAGTTATAACTTTAAACTTTTCTTTGTTATTGAGAGTAGCTATTTTTATTATTATCAGCTTAGCAGTGGTATACAGTATACTAGTTTTTATCTAGAAATAATTTAGATTTGACCGATTAGGGACCATGTGTGTAGTTCGAAAATTTTGATATTTTAGGGACTGATAAAATGTAATAATGGTAAAACGTCAACATCTGAGCACCATCAGGCCGCTTTTAAAATCAGACAGGAGCAAATGCCCACCTTGCCATCCTCCAAAAGACGCCACTGCTTGCTAAAAAATCGAAGTAGGTATCGTAAAAAACCAACATACGAACACAGATAATGTCCTTACCGTCTCAGTTTCGTAATATAGATCCACTCTGATTTTTCCCTATAGATGTATTTATAATAATATTATAAATGGCATTTTAATTAGTTTCCATATCATATCACGTATTTTAAAGATTTAATCGTTACTGAATTTATTTTTTTTTTTTTAATTTACCTTTTTTTCACGAACTTCTACATAGGACTGGACACTATAAAATAAGGTGGCTACAAAGTTGTGAGGTGCGTAACTGCTCTTTAGTGGCATTTTTTTATACTGTACTGTTGTCATAGACGGAAATCGGGGGGGGGGCTAGAGGGGACTAAGCCCCCTCAGAATTTTAAAGTACAGGTCTTAGCCCCCCCTGGCCCTCACAATTTTGTACAATAATGTGACTAAATATATAAAAATATATAATAATTAGTATAATTAAAAAATGCATTTTTAATATCTGAATTACATAATCAGATACTGATATAGTTAATGCTTTTTCTAATAAAAACCGATATATTGTGCTGAAATAAATATATAAGTACACTTATTATGTTATATACTTGGCTTCTTTGTTTTAACATCTTATATTAAATTGGTTATAATTCAATTAATTTAATAACTTAATAATAAAATAAATTGAATGCTATTTTTGTTTAGGATAAAATGTTCAAGGTACCTATGGCACATTATTGTTTTTGTACTTTATTAAGGTTAAATTGTTTAGTATGTCGAACTTTGTAAATTGTCTTGTTGAAATAAATAATTGCGAGCGACTCTAGTACAATAGTGCCTATATAGGTACAATGAGAAATATAATGCTTAGCCCCCCCAGTAATTTCACCAAATTTCCGCCTATGACTGTTGTAAATTCTTTTATGTGATAATTCGTACAGTCGTAGTGACTATAAAAAAAATAGTGACTAATAGTCACTATATGTATAAGTGTATAGTAATAACTGAACAAGAATCAAAAATTAAATCAATGACAATCTTTTATATTTCATATTCCCTATTAAGTATTATATCTCCAAAAAAATAAATGCGCATTACTACGTTGCAACCAAAGTTTTTTTTTTTTGAGTGATTTTTTACTTGTTTTTGGTAGGATATACGTGAATGTTGTGTCATTCTCATAGTAACATAATAAGGAATTTTAAATAAAAAAAAATTAATTTTTGTGATTAGCACATGGAAATGCAAGTAAATTTTGGTTCTTTTCAAAGAAAAAATCTCACCACTAAAATGTTTATGACATAAGTACGATTGTACGAAACATTTCGGTTATTGCCATAACAATTGTTAACAATATTTGTCCACGATTTACGGATAGATTGTTACCAGTGGTGTATTGCTAAAAATATTCGTGGGTATACGCCTTCTAGATCTTAGGTATCAATGACATAACTATAACATTAAATCAAAAAAAAAATTTTCTCGCTTCACTCGAATACGATAATGACCAAATTATCTAATTATCAGATTACAATTAATATACAAGTATCTTTCAACTACTAACTGAATGAAAAACAAAATCAAATTAAATCACGAAATGACTTTTTATTTTAAATATATTGCTTTTAAAACCAAAATAGTCAAAATATGCACTAAATAGGTTAAGTAGGTATTTCATCCCGAATTTTGTGAATTGTATTTTGTTACTCCCATGTCACAAAATTAACCATAAAAACTACAAAGTATGTAAATGCATGCAATTCCTTGCCCTAAACATAACATTTCAGAGTATCTAATTATTATCAATTAGTAAAATACTAAAATATAAAACATTTAACTAAAACCAAACAATTGCAAATTGATAAAAGTTTTCTTTATTAATAACAAATTAATTCATATAAATATAATAATAATACATAGGTATTTTAATAATTATTATTATAATCTATAATATTTTCCATATGCTTTTTTTTCCTCTCTTGTTTCTGGTTCCTGGTTGACGTTTTTTTTTGTTCTGGTATCTTCAGCAGTCTTATGATTTACCAACCAACTACTGACATAACTTTTTGGTTCCCATTCATCTAGTGGAGGACCATTTACATTTATAAACATAAGACTGGCTAAATGTTTAATAGTTAACGTAGAACGTAACTTAGTGCATATATTGTTCATTAGACTGAACCCCCGTTCGCACTCTGCTGTTGAACAAGGAAATGTTTGTACCAAGTTATAAAATTCAGGCGTAACATTTTTAAATGAAACTGTTTGATCATCTATTATTTGTCTGAAACCATTGATAGCATCATTCTTATTGACTTGAAAACGTTTACATAATCGTTTGATTTCATCTTCACCATAACGTATAATATGTTATACTTAATATAATATGTTATAATAACGTATATATGAAATGAAAATTACAAATATACAGAACATTTTGTTTTTATCACCGAAAATTCTAATAGGTATACGGGAGTATACGTCCGTATACCCGCGTATCGCCGTTTATTTAGAGAGTATACGCTAAAAAAAAAACTAGAGAAGTGAGTATACGCCGTATACCCCCGTATAGGTACCCCCCAATACACCACTGATTGTTCCTTTGGCGATGAGAATAAAGTAGTATTTTCGTTATTACTTTTATTCAATCTATTGTCGCATATTATTAATACTGAACATAAGCGACCCATAGTAAATAATGTGAAGTATAATAATATAAAAAGATACAACAGACTCATTATAGAAATTGAAATAGAAATTAAACAAAATTGAAATAATATTCATTAAGTTAATCGATTTGTTTTTATTTTTTTTTTTTCATATTTCATAAGTCTATATTATTATAATATAAATATTACGTTCATAATTATAGTTATATAGGTACGAAAATATGCAGTAAATCTAGTACGTCACTAGGTAGCATCACAGTCGCAAACGTACATAGCCGTACAATTTTGTGACCGGTGTCCCACCCTCCCCCTGCCAGGAGTGTCCAGTCCTATGTAGTAGTTCGTGCTTTTTTTTATACGGAATTATAGTATTTTTCTATGGTTTAGTGCTTTGGTGGGATTTTAATAACAACGATTGGTAGTTCATTTTTTATTCCGAACCTCCATCGTTTCTTGATTCCTTATCATTATCCGGACAAATGCTTATCACTCCGAGTTGACAGTAGTTTGTTGTTCACCACGATTAAAGATATACAGGTTGCACATCGACTACTGATAAGGTGAAATACGAAATGACTACCAATAATTAACCAGTGGCGCTCCAAGCGGCAGTATTACAATTAACCAATTATAGATATATAGGTGTAAAATTAGTTCTAAATGTCGACACATATGGTTGAGTGTTGACATTAAGCGCCACTAGTTAATTATTAACAGCTGATTTTTATAGTCACTTTGTAAATCAGTCTGGAAGCGGTTTACTATAGGGCGATGTGCAACCTGTATATCTTTAATCGTGTTGTTCACTAATCACTATATAGTAGTGGGCCAACCATAGACATAATATAGATGGACTGCGCGTTCAGCCCTTATCATGTCAGCAATAATAAACTTATGTAGAAGGTAAATAATCATGGAAAAATGTTTATCTAACAGCTTTCCTCCATGATACGAAAATACGGAATCAATAGTTACCACGAGTCTCATCAGTTATCACTCTTATTTAAACCAAAATATACCTTGGAATAAAAACAGTAAAAATGTTTTATCCATGCTATTTTACCTTCTCATGTCTTGTTATTATGGCTGAATTTATTGATGGCGAGGGGGGAGGAACGCGCAGTCCATCTATATTATGTCTATGGGGCCAACGATTACCATTATACATTTTAATATTAATCAATTAACTATTATAGTCCAAAATAATATATTATTATTATGTTCGCAGTCGGTTAATTTTATTCGATCATTTTCGTGGACTATCTCAATTCTTTTGTTTTTATCATAGTAATCGTCCACAATAGTATTCAGATCATAGACATAATATAGATGGACTGCGCGTTCCTCCCCCCTCGCCATCAATAAATTCAGCCATAATAACAAGACATGAGAAGGTAAAATAGCATGGATAAAACATTTTTACTGTTTTTATTCCAAGGTATATTTTGGTTTAAATAAGAGTGATAACTGATAAGACTCGTGGTAACTATTGATTCCGTATTTCCGTATCATGGAGGAAAGCTGTTAGATAAACATTTTTCCATGATTATTTACCTTCTACATAAGTTTATTATTGCTGACATGATAAGGGCTGAACGCGCAGTCCATCTATATTATATCCATGATTCAGATGCGAGTTCTACAAACACAGTATTTGAAATCGTTGTGTGCAAGTAGACATATATACCATTAGATTTATTTTACAAAACGGCATAGTTGTTATTTTTGTTGAAATGGCCAATCAACCATATGACGACATGGAACTGACGTATGTATTTAAAACTATTATTGAATTTAAACTTTAAACTGAATCTTTATTTTATCGTGGAACATAATAATATTGTATGCTTTCATTGTCCAAAACTGAAAAAAGTATACAAAATCAAAAACTATCGCTTTAACACGTTCACTGCGTACTGACGCCAATTGGCGTCATAAGTATCATTCAGCAACGCGTTTGACGCCATATGGCGTCTAATATACATTTCAAATAAATGGTTTAAAATTCCCTACGCGTGGCTGAATGTTATTTTATTATTATTTAGCGTGGATTAAACGCATGTTTTTAAATATGTATACATACGTCGTTATGAGCAGTTTCTTTATATTTTTTTTTTAATTTCTTTTGTTTTTACTTTTATCATACGCACTGGGTGAAAACTGCAAAAAGACATACGCAGTCAACGTGTTAATCATATCTTAAAACTATTCCGAACGGATACCATGTTTTGGTACCTACATTTCATTGATAGTTGGTAGTATTTTCATACACTTAGAGAAATATTTTAGAAAATTGAAATGTGACTTCAAAGTTTTGATTAGTTATTATTATTTAAAGAATACCAATTGGTTAACACCCAAATAAGTAATATTTTGATGCTGCAAACAAGAATTTAAAAAAAAAAATTTTATTCCAATAAATAATAACTAATACCATAGAATACTTGTTAAACATTTTCAGTACACCAACCTCGACACGATTTTATCACAGTGTAAATGTTTAATACATGGTTGTATATTACCGGCTAATAGTGTATGCGCTATGCTATACTGAACCTGCAATGAGTACAAAACGAGTTTACAATGTTTTATTTATAGTTTATCGTTTAGAAATATTAATAACTGTCGACTATAAACTAGTATAGTGCCTACCGAGGTTTCTGTATAAATGTATGTAGGTTATGCCAAAATGCATACTCTACAAGGCAAATTAGATGTTATTAAATATTAAATATCTATAGCTATGCGATCTATACTATAGTTATCCTATAGTTATGCTATGGGTGTTGTGCCGTAATTCAAGGTCCCTGTTTATATATTGCCGGTTGTAATACTCGAAACAAAAACCATACAAATGGATCTACTATATTATTATAACGAGTGTATTATAATTTTGGTTTTTTATATGTATTATACTTATTTATACTTTTATTGATATGATTTATGAATTACGAATGTATAGTAATATAATGTTATGTTATCTAAGTATAAATACTAACATACTTAGATATGTCAAATAAATATATTTTAAATATACTGTTTAAATGATTTACAGAGCTGAAAAGGAATTAGATGCATTAGTAGTTGCTAGTCAAATGGAGTCAAATTTTGATATAGATGAAATACTCAATGATAAAGCTAAGAAGAGAAAGTTTACTAAAACAAATGTCAAGAATCTTATCAAGGTACCTATCATTTTTTAATTATAAAATTATTTATTCAATGATATTTTTTTTCCATAAAAATGGTTAATGTTAAATAAATTATTCAAACGTTTATCCAGCAAGTAGACCTACGCAATTATTTTGTCCTTAATTTTAATGGAAATTTGTTTTTAAATTAAGTAGAAATTGGTTTTAAAAATGGCCTGTTATAATGAAATGTACTACCTAAATTTTATTTCCAGAATGTAATTACAAATGCTGATGTAGCTACAATGTTACGACAAACTTTAGACGACAATATAGATGCAAACTGTTTATATGAACCAAAATTTACAAGAGCAAAAATGAGGTAAAGTAAATTAACTTTATTTAAAGATTCCCGATATATTCAATGATGATTATTGATTATTACTTATTATTATAAGTGTATATAATTTTAATGATTTTTACTCTTATAAAATGTTTTGCTATAGTTATAGTTTTTATACGTTTTTCAAAGACATTAAAAAAACAATATTATATACCTAATACATAACAATTATACATTTAGTTTGATTATTTCAGAAAAATGTTAAATACTTATCCAACTTCAGGGTCTACAAACCAGCAACAATCAATCTTATCAGAATGTACATCATTGATTGAAAAGGAATTTCCCGATGATTCTGAAGATGATGAGTATTATCCAGACAAAATGTTTGAGGAGGAAGAAGATGAATACGACGATGATGAATTTAAATTAACAGAAGTTAATAAATCATTTGACACAGAAAATGATCAAGATATTAGTGATAATAAAACTATAGTTGATGTAAATGAGGTAAAGACACAAAATAATAAATATATATGTAGTATGTACCAATGTATTAGTGTTCAAAATGTGTTTGATTTGTTTAGGAAACAATTGGAATGCGTACTAGGTCAAAATTTTCTTTAAATGATACTCCATTAGAAATTATAGAACAAGCTTTTATACCGCCAGATATAACCGAGGATATGTATGATTCAGCATGTGAAAACGATGAATGGATGGAGTTTCTTAGTGAATTTACAAAGCCTTTAGGTATATTCAATTCATAAAATATAACTTATGGTTAATATAGTTATTAGCTTTTGGAATCGAATTTAATTTATATAAACATTATTTTATTTAGTATTTACAGTATGTTGGTATTTTGTTATATTTTTAATATACATAATATAACTTCATAAATATATAAAAACCAAATAGTTGTAAAGATGAACTAACAACATATTTTGGTTTGATATTAATATTTTAGTATGTATGAAAATATTTATAATCAGCTTGTCCATTTCTTTAGTTTTTTTTTATGATTATGTTAATTTATATTTAAACACAATTCATATTGATTATGTATTTAATTTTTATTTATTGTTACATATTACTTATTTATGTATTGCTATTTTGTTTTAGAGCCTGTTCAAAATGATGAAGGTGAAGATGATCCTGAGTATAATATTCTTGGCGATGATGATTATACTAATGGTAATTATTAAGATAAATATGATTATAAAATTATTGTGTTCTGCCAATATTTTAGTTTTAAAAAAATAGTGATATTTAATAATTTAATAAATTGTGATTTATATAGTCGATAAAGAAGAATTTCGTATTGATAAATCAGTTAAGGTCACTCGTAAGGAGTATAATGATTTAATGAATGAATTGAACGAATTTACTGAAAGCTTCCTTAAATTCAATGGTGTAGAAAAATTTGAAACTAATACCGATATCAAAGAAACTGATAATGATAAAGTATTTAATTCATAACATTTAATAGGCATACATAATTTTAATAATTAATTTTATTCATAGAACACAGATAAACCAAAAAATGATACTCAATCTATCCCTGCTTATGTCTGTACTCCAAATATCTATTTAGATGGGAAAACAAGCACTAATTTTTCTTTTCAAAATAAAGTAAACATATAATTTATACATTTAAATATTTTATTAGGTTCAATATATTATTATAATTGTGTATGACTATTATTTACAGAATGCTGTTAAACTTACAAATGTCACTATATCTCCTACTATACATCCTCCTTTACCAACATTTAAAGAAAATGTTCAGTTAGGCATTGAACAACATAACAATAGTAATGAAGATGTTTCTGTGATAACAAATATAGTTCCTCAATGTGCAAATATAATGACACAAAAACAAATAATTTTATTTAAACTACAACTCACACAACATGTCCAATTAATAACTCAAAATTACTTGTTATGCACAATGTCAAAAAAGTTCAAAATTAATTGCAGAAAATATAAAACTATGTTGGTAAGTTATTTAATTTATTTTTGATTTCATTAAAATTAAACTAAATATTTAATGATTTTAGGAACGAATAAAAGATATTTGTAAAGATAAAAATTATGAACCAGTCAACATACATTCCGCTTTAAAGTTTATTCAAGATTGGACTGAAGCTAAAACCGATGCGAAGAATATTAATAGGTAATACATTTATTTAGTTGGTAGGTTTTAATGACTATTTTATATTCATTGTTTCAACCCAATAAATAAGGGTTATGGGGAAAAAAATGTATGCCACTTTAAACACATTCATATATCTGTTCATGAAACAACAAATTGTTATTTGACTCATTATTATGTTTTAATATGATAATTATCATTAGGCCTTTTATTGTTATTTTTCAGTGACTATGGTGAGCTACCATTACATGTGCAAAAGTTTATGCTATATTATGATAAATCTGTATTTATCTATCCTCAATTGTTACCAACAAGAACTTATTGCCATGAATATAAAAATCATCCTATTGGGCCTTCAGAAGAAAAGTATTACATCCTATGTTTTTTAGTTGAATATTCACTCTATTCGTCTCTCTTATGTGTAAAATGCCATATTATTTAAAAAAATTGTTAATCAACTGTAAGAAATCAGTTTTAATACCGAAATAAAAATGTAAGGCTTCTCCCAGAAGTTTAATAAAAACTAAATCTTTGATGTACTACTGGCGTCTTGAATAACAATATTCAAATATTTTCTTGAATGTATTTTCCCAAAAACTATGAATATTATTGTGATGTTCACATGTATGAGAGACAGATTTATAAAATCTTACTGTAACTAAACCTTAAATTTGTAACTTATTATAAATATAACTAACTTTTTTTTTTTTATAGACTTCTGGTATTAAAAATAGATTATATTTATAAGAATTTGACAGAGCATCGTAATACTCGGGCAAAATATAGAAAAAAGAATTTATCTGATTTAATGCCAATGATAATAAAAACTGTACATAAAAGATGGTTTTCACACCGAAGTTTAACATATCTAAAACAGTTGATAACGCGCAGGAACAACTCATTTGATATGAATGTTATTAAGGTATGCTTATTCATTTATTAATTTAAACTTGTAATGATTTATTTAAATTGTACATTGTAATAAGTTATTTCCTTATTTTTGATTATAGAAAATACCTATCACTATTTTGTATATATTATGTAGGTACTCAATGCTATTATAGGATGTTTCAGTCTTGATAGAAATGACAAATTTTTGAATTTAAAAATGATATAATTTTTTTTCCGTGTGTTTATAATGTTTAAATGTATGTGCTTGTGTATTTCAGAATTATTTAACAAATGGTATAATTGAAGAATCTTCTTATGTTATTGACATTAAAGCTCTCTTTAAAGGAAACCGCTTATACGAGTGTGATGTTGGAAAGTTTCCTTTAAGTTGGAAATGTATCAGAACACAATTTAAGTAAAAAAAAATGTATTTTTTTCTTGGTTATCAGCCTTTATTTTTTTAAACTATCTAGGTACTATTATTATATTACTTTTTATATTAAGAATGTTTAAAATAAAGAAAAACAATTGATTAAAATACTATAGAAGTTGAATGTTAAACATTGTATGTTAATTATTTTGTATGATAATTTGTTGACTGCCGGCGACCCAAGTCAGTTTAGTGCGTTTAAGGCCATACAAAGTTGGAGGATTTATTGATTTTTTTTTTTTAAATATCAAATTTTTCTTTTCTATGCCACGGTACGTATTAAATTTTGGGTACTTTCCTGTTATACGAGACTACGGCTGTTATTGCGACTACCACCCAAGACTACCTCCGTTGTCGCGACTACCGCACTTATTTTGTGAAACATCACAATCCTGTTATCTAAGACTACCAAAATGGTACTTCCTGTAATACGTGACCACCTTTATTTTTCTTGCCTTCTTTGATAGATTTTTTAATAGTAGGTATGTACTTTGGGGATGACCAGATTGAAATAAAGAAAACATTTAAATACATAGTAAATATTCGTAATGTATTTTACATGTTACACGCCAAAGTGCCAAATTTGACGCGGTGTAAGGAAAACAATAAATTAATAATAATAATTATAACACAAAATGGTAAATCCACAAATATAATAAATATAATCGCAGCTTATGGATATCGTTCAACTATAATATCAGCTAAATAAGATAGGTAGTCGCCATAACGGAGGTAGTCTTTGGTGGAAGTCGCGATAATAGCCGTAGGTAGTCTCAAATAACAGGAAAGTATAATTTTGGTAGTCTTAGATAACAGGATTGTGATGTTCTCAAAAAACAGGGTAGTCTAGTATAACAGGAAAGTACCAAATATTGTTGTCTCCAAGCCGTGAAGGTTTAGTGTTGTATTTAATGTTGATGTTAGATTTGGCACCGGCGAACCAAGTGGCGTTACATAAATAATATGGTTTAGGTCGCCAGCAACCCAAGTGGCTTTACAATAAAAGACAACTCTTGGATAGCCGGAGGTGTTTTTGTTTTGTTTTTCTCACTTGCTCATTTTGCAGGTGTTAGGTCTAAAAGAGCATACAATGTATTAATGCACTGTGGTCTGTGACTCCCTGCACCATCACAAGTTTAGCTTAACGGTGTAGGTCATTTTTATTATTTTATTTGTATCATTTTGTGTTTATAAAATAATAAAAATCTTTTAAAAAAATAGTATCGTTCATGCCCGTAATTACTAATTATTACAGTTTTTTTTTTGGTTGATAAAATGTCCACGTTGTTGAACGTAATCGATCAATTCTAATATCAAGAGGTACAATCGAGGTTCATAAACACGAATGCTTCTAATTTGAATTATATAACATTTCATATTTGTATTTAAAATTAAAATAAACAATGTATAATTTATGGGTTTGTTCTCACGATATAATATTATGTCCTTCAGTCATCAAATATATGTATACCTATTGTGTAGAGTAAAAAAATTATGTTTATTTCGTATTTCTATTTACTTTAAACGAATAATAATAATAGTAATAGGTACAAAATCAGGGCCCCCCAATTACCATAAATAAATATATCCTCAATTGCGTATGTAATTACTTTTAAGTTATTTAGTTGAAAATTGTATATTTTATAATAGAAAAAAATGCGTAATAATATAAGTAGGTATTATATTAACCTAACCTTATATTAACCTTAGTAAACTGGCACCTACCTACATAAGGTACATTTTTTTCTGTTTTATAGAATATTGATTATTATATATACACGTAATACATATTTATTCAAGTGGGCAGTAGAACGACATTAATTTTGAATATTGTAGACATTTCCAGTGCCGCAACAACCAGGGGTGCTAGGGGTGCAAAGAACCCCCGGGCCCCCGTTAAATCATAACAATGGGCCCCGGGGCCAGTGGCTGAACTATTTGGAACTTTTTTTTTCGTTTTAGGTGTATCACAAAGTGGTATCTTACCATCTTATTATTTTATCAAAAAATAGAAACTAAGGAATACATTAGAATCATAATTATTATTATTTAATATTTATTATGATATAAAAAAAAAGTCCTAACTATAATTATAACAAAGTAATAAAAATAATAATTTCGAATGGCAGGGGTGCTTACCTTACATATACCGCCAATATCATATTCTCGAATTTCTTAATTTTGCTATGTTGTGACGGCTGATAGTTACACTATTTAAATTGGGACAAGAAAGAAAATAAATGGTTTTAAAGGCCGCATACCACTTTGCTCCTCAGTCCTAACCTATATGTGTACAATCACTTAACAGAAGCTTCGATATATTACTATTGTACCTATTATATAGCCATATAGGTGCACCGTTTTGTTTCACACTTGTCTCGTGATTTACTATTTATGACCCACTGTCTTAAGTAATCCCACCATGTCATGTTTTAATATGAAAATCCTTAGTACTTATAGTGAATGTAAAGATCGTCTGCCCCTTAAAGAGTTAAATATATAATACCTATGTATTATATACATATTATTTATATAGATCAACAGATCGTGAATAATGAAACTTATAGGTGGTATATTGTGCTAACGTATAGCAAGGCTCAAGGCTGGTGTTGCCCAATCGTCCGAATGATCTATACTTGTTTATACTTATAATACTAGATATACTAACCTAATAGTAGTTACGAGTTGTAAGTACATAATATGCCGTGTTTGCTCGAAGACATCGTAGCTTTATAAGTAACCTGCTGACTGCTGTAAACGGGACCGTAGATCGCGCAAGCGCCGTGATACACATTTTTTATTTATTTTTTACTGAAAATGTTATCAAGATGGTACTTTAGAGAGGTTATTTTTCGATTTTATAAATAGTCATTTAATGCCACTTGAAAAAACCACCAAAAAATTACGAAAAGCCGCTAAAAATGGGATTTTAATTTCTAACGCTTTGTCTATCACCATAGAAAAGAATAAAAAATATAAATATTATAATATTAATTCAACTTACATGATATAATAATTAATGACAATTGACAATAGTAAATATCTAGTCGGACAAACCGTCTCCACTCAGAATCGTTTTTCTTATACAATGATATTATATCATTGAATTCAAGTTTAATACAATCCATTATACCATGACCCACCTGTAACCTACTGTACAGCAGAGCGACATATACAGTTATACTTACCCACTTTTTTTTATAAATGTTGTATTATTGTACGCTCAGTCAAAAAGCTTGAAAATTGAGTACAAAATTCCTTATAAGTTGAACCTTTAGAGATTTAAAAATATATATTATTTAATGGTATAATATTATGATAAAAATTATACAGGTAGGTATTTGTATTGTTGTATACCACGTATACGATGAAAATTGAAAATATGAGTTAAACGATAATATATTTCGGAGTGACAATTGTGACATTATCTAAATGCACGTTCTGCAATAAATAAATGGAAAATATATATCCTCGAATAAAGTCGAAAAATGAGAGTTTTAATTTCAAGATTTCATAATGCCAACGCTAGTATAGGTATACCTCTATACGATAATGACGGTAGTGTTTTGTAGTTTGAAAAAAAAATTAGATACATTTAGTATTTACAATGTATGTTTTCGAATAATTCAGTAAGTACCTAGGTAAGTAATTCAATTAATTGATATTTTACTTACTCTTGTTTTAACCTAATTCAATGGATTGCGAGAAAAGAAATACGAGGAAAATAGAAAATACTAATCTAATGTAAATTATATTATATGGACATCAGACTTTGGTAAAATACTTTTTAAAAGTATTTTAAATACATATTCCGAATACTTAAAAAAATTATTCAGAATATGTATTCGAATACTTTATGATAATAATATTCCTAAGTATTCGGAATACTTCACAAAAAGTATTCCAAATATTTTTCGAATAGGTACTTTTATTTAGATTTCAATAGCAAAAATATAATTTCTTCAATTATGTGTTTAAAAATGAACATTATTATAATCTCGATAATACACACACACCTATCCGGCTAACTATTAGTTAGAAATTATATTCAAATTAATATAATTAATAAGTAATAATTAGTAGGTAATTTATAAGAGTATACCTATATAAGAAAAAAAGTATTCCGAATAATGTACTCAGAATATTCGTAAAAAGTATTCAAAGTACCGTATTGACTATTGAATACCTACTTAAAAAAAAAGTATTTAAAAAGTATTCTACCCTAGTCTGATAGACATAATGATATATTAATATATTAATATATTAATATATCATCATTAATATATTAATATATCATCATTGTGCATTTGTGGGCGTCCATTATATCCTGTTGAAAAATTATATGTACAGTCGTACAGATATATTATAAACAAAATAAGCCCACGATTTTCTGCGTCCATAGCGTTATTAGATATTATTTTGTATAGGTGTGTTATAACTTATAATATTATACACCTGCAGTGTTGCTGATCACGATATTGACGTAAGTGGAGAATAGAAAATTAATATTACCATTAATTGGATTTTTTTCTGTTGTTGTTCGGTAAAACTGGTAAAACAGAACACATCGTGTGACCTTAATAGTAGGTAAGTAATAAGGGTGACGAGGTGGCCGAGTGGTCACGTTATACGGTGCTTGATAAAAAAAAAAATACTAATTCTGGTCATCTCCCTGCAGAGATGGGCGTATTTTTTTAATTTTCCCCTGGTGTTAAAAAGCTATGATCCGGCCCTGCTCTTACACCTAAAACATGGGCGTCTGCTCACTCGTCAGGTGTCACTCGACTATTCATCCACTCTCATAATCTCGTTGTATAATTTTTTTAACTTCGGATTTTTACTTAACAGTTTTTTTATTATTTGTACAACATAAATACTGTAACGTGCTACTCCGCGTTACTCGTAGAAATGTAAGTAATAATTGAACAAAACCTCTTTGATGGTATTTATTTATGTAAACAGTTTTATGGAAAATATTCTAAGTGCAAA